AACCACGAGCACATTGAGTCTTGGAGTGGCTATCATGATGTCCCCAACAGCATCGAAGGTTCTCTCTCATGCAGTAAGAGCCAATCTCCTCCAGGATCATAACAGCAAGGTTCAACTCAAAAGGAAGGAAGGTCACAATACTACAATGCTATGCACCTACAAATAATGCAGAGCAAGAGGAAAAGGAGGAATTCTACAGACAACTTCAATCAACACTGAACAAGACGTCAGTTGGCGATATCAAAATTCTTATGGGCGGAGTGACATGAATGCCAAACTGGGAGGGGACAACACAGGAAGAGAACTAACCATGGGTAGAGAAGCGCTCGGTGAGGTGATGAACGAGAATGGAGAATTGTTTGCAGAATTCTGTGCATTCAACGATTCGGTGATTGGAGGCAGTGTGTTCAAGCACAAGGATATCCACAAAGCGACATGGATTTCACCAGACATCAGGAACCACTAAAAATCAGATCGACTTCATCTCAATCTCAAGAAAATGGAGATGCAGTCTACTTGACACAAGACCAAGAAGAGGAGCAAATGTAGGTTCACACCACTATCTAGTGCAAGGAACCTTCCAAATCAAGTTAAAAGCCTTCAAAGAGGCTGGTGATAGACTACCGTTCAAGTTCAACACTAGGAAACTGAAGGACAAAACTACAAAGGAAATCTTCACGGCAGCCATGAAGACAAAATGGGAGATACTGAGCAACATCACTGAAGAAACCTGTGTGGATGAACACTGGAAGTCTTTGAAAGAGATATAGAAAGAAACCTGCACAACCGTATAAGGAAGGAAGAAGATAAGGAATGGATCTCAACGGACACATGGAAGCTGATAGAGCAGGGAGAAGAGGATAGTGAAGCAGAAGATAAAGCAGTGCAAGGATGCTCAACGAGAAGAGGAAATGAGTACAACGTACAAAATACTACACTGGACAAAGAAGTGAAGAAGAGTGCACGCAAAGACAAAACACACTTCTAAGAAACACTGGCAAGTGAAGCAGAACAGGCTGTAGGTTAGGGAGATAGAGACCTGACAACATTGTATCAAATAACCAGGTTACTCTCTGGCAGGGAAGAGATCAACACAGACGAAACCAATAAAAGATGATGACGGGAATTTAATTATGAAAGAAGAGAAACAAAGGAAACAATGGGCCGACCACTTCAAAAAGCTCTTGAATCGACCACCACCACCACCTGCACTTCGTCCACAGAACTACAAGTGAACATAAATCCTCCAACAGAAGTAGAAGTCCTGAGTGCCATCAAGCTACTGAAATGGGGGAAAGCAGCCGGACTAGATGGAATCCCGCCAGAAGCGCTGAAAACAGACGCAGAGACAACAGCGGACATGTTCACACCACTATTGCAGAAGATCTGAAGTGAAGGGAAGGTACCTAGCGGTTGGAAGAAAGGTTACCTTGTCAAACTCCCGAAGAAGGGAGACCTCAGTGTTTGCAAGAACTGGCGCCGAATCACGCTCCTGTCCACCCCAAGCAAAATATTAAGCCGCATCATCCTGGAGAGACTAAAGGATGCATTGAATTCAAAACTACGACCGGAACAGGCTGGCTGGATTCAGGAAGTACAAATCGTGTGCGGACCAAATTCCAACGCTACACTACGCATCATCATAGAACAGAGCATAGAATGGCAATCAGCTCTCTACCTCAACTTCATCGACTTTGAGAAGGCCTTTGACAGCGTCGACCAAAAAGTAATTTGGCACTTGCTTCAATACTACAGAATACCACAAACCTTCATCAGCCTCATTCAACAACCATATGCAGACGCCACATGCCAAGTAATTCATAATGGGAAGCTCAGTGATGCTTTTGAAGTGAAGACAGGAGTGAAACAAGGCTGTCTATTATCACCCATGATATTCCTGATTGTGGTTGACTGAACTGGATCATGCAACAAACAGTGAGGAGCGAGAAGAGGGGGATACCCTGGCTGGACCGCGGAAAAGAACCTAGAAGACTTGGATTTCGCCAACGATGACTTGTGTCTGATGTCGCACAAACTTGAAGATCTACAGACAAAAACTAACAAGTTGACAGAAGAGGCAGGTCAGCGAAGATGGAACTTCAAGTGAATATAGAGAAGACAGAGGTGATGAAGATATCCAACCACCACCACCACCAACAACAACAACAACAAGCTCCAATCACTATGAACGGGAGAAACTTAAGGGAAGTAACCTCCTTCACCTATCAAGGCAGCACTGTTTCGACTACAGGAGGCACAGACGAGGATGTCAAAGTCAGCCAGGATCGGAAAAGCAAACCAGGCGTTCATTAACCTGAAATCAATGTGGAGATCTGCACTCAGCATAAAGCATGAACAAGATCTGGATTTTCAACACCAACTCAGTCAAGTCAGTGCTTCTGTATGGCTCAGAGACTTGACGCGTTACGAAAGGCATTTCTAACAAATTACAGACATTCGTCAACAACTGCCTACACTGGCTGGTTACTGAAGATCAGATGGCCAGAATAATAAGAATAAGCAACAAGGAACTCAGGCTGGGTGGCTGGCAACGAACCAACCAACGAAGCAAGAACCTATCGCTGAACAAATATGCAGAAGGAAGTGGAGATGGATTGGATTGGGGATACACTGAGAAGGCCGACTGAGGACATCATGTGTCAGGCCAGGTCCTCGAGTGGAACCCTGATGGGAAGCGACGAGTTGGGCGTGTGAGGCGAGGGTGACATGGAGGAGATTGTGCGAGGAGGAAATGAGAGGTTGTGTGCTGTGGTGGAGCCAGGTTCAAAAGGTTGCAGAGAACAGGGTTCACTGGAGACGTGCTACTGAAGCCCTATGTTTCATTAGGAACCCAAGGGACAAATAATAAATGATAATAATAATGATATTTTGCCCAGGATCCTACGGTCCGACGCCTAACCGGACCACGAAAACAGCTAAGTCGAGAGAACCAGGCAGGTTTCAGATATAGACGGTGCATCGATCATATTTTCATCCTCCGACAGATTCAGGAACATAGGCATACTTACCGGTGGCCGACACGCCATATTTCTTGATCTGAAGGTGGCATTTAGCTTTAACGACAGCGATGTGTTATGGAAGTGTCTGACTGTGAAGGAAGTACCGAGCAAGCGTATGACGTTCATCGAAGCTCTTCACTTGAACTCATGAAGCCGGGCAAGGGGTTTTGGAGAGTTGTCATCTGAAATGACAACAGCAGGTGGTGTCCAGGACGGATGCCTACTGTCACCACTCCTGATCAGCTTCATTTCAGATGTACCAAAAGACGTAATATTAAGTACCTTTAAGGTCACAGAGATTTACCCAATCCCTTAAACTTATCCGTTCGACTTGGACGGCGTAGATGACATTCGTTTGGAGATATGACAAAATCGGATGTCCACTCTGACGTCTTTTAAAGCTTCATGTTTTGACTAATCTTCATTTTAAAATTCATTTTCCTTCTATACAACTTTTTTTTAACTTTAATGTCACTAGTTTTGCATACTCTACGCGCTAGTATGAAGTGTCACGAGCCGATGAACTTATGCGTGAGGTTCGGAGCTGGTTTTGTTCGTTTGACTATAAATAGTATCCAATATCCAATATCTTTTTAACGAGCTTGTGTAAACCAGTTGATTTCTTCTTGCTCGCTTTTTGGTCTTGCGGAACGGTTCCAGGTCTTTGGCGGATTCCGATGCAGTAGATCCAGTCGCTCGTCTGATATAGCTCTGATTTACAGAACAGGAAGTTAAATGTTGATTTGTTCGCCTTAGACTGTGGTGCAGTTGGCTTTTTCGGATGTCGAGTTGCCAGACAGTTCGAACCGGTCGCTAGGGAGGCTTAGGGTTAGTGAAGAGAAAACCTAGAAAGGTGAATGTGTAGGTTAAAGGGGAAAAGTGAACTAATGAAGTAATCTGCTTACGCCCAAGTAAGGCAAGGAGGGGTGCAAAGATATGAAGAACTTAGGTAAGTGAGGCTAACTCATGGCAAGTGGAAGGGATGAAAAGGGCTCAAATGGTTACAACAGAAAACTGGTTGTAGAATTAAAATAGTTGGGGTGGCTTGACATTAGTTGATTTCTTCTGTTCTGTTGGTGTTCCAGCTATATGTGGGTAGACCGTGGGTCCCAGCGTGACTGTCTAGCCTCTTCTTGAAGCTTTCAATAGTTGGGGCGGAGACCACCTCTGCTGGTAGTGCGTTCCAATACCTGCAGACCCGGAGGGAGAAGTGTGAACGCACATGAGTACACTAAGTACATTTAAATACTTCCAAAGGAAGTGAATCGAAACACAGCTACCCCTTCACATTTTATCAGTTCCAACTTCAATGTCACATAAGCTAGCGCTTCTGTTACTACAATGACCCAGCTCATTGATTCTGTTCACGTAATTATCTACATCGTTCTTTATTCTCGATTACTCTTGTAATTCCGCATCAACGTCGGACGACCGTCACTTTTTACCCTGCATGAAACACATATAAGGGCTAATGCCACTACAAAATGCATAGGAACAAACGCGAACGCTGAAAAGAAGACCACTTGGCTGACTAACTTATTTCATGAGCCACTAAAAGTGCTATCTTCTCCAAAGGTTTTGGTTAAAAAGTTAGAACCAAGTAAAGATTTAGTGTGATGGTGTACATATTGATGCTAAGCCGTGATTTTCTGTGTGATATTCATTTCTGATTTCTTTAGCTTCAAACAACACAAGTTCTCAAAGAGTATTGGGAAAATGCAAAACGACCACATAACTACTTATTGAAATTTCACCAAGCGAAACTATCGGCTTGGTAGTGACAAAACTTTATTGGTTCCAAAACATTTTTAACTTTTCCAGGGTAAGGAGTATGTCGCTAAAGGCCGTTAGAAATAACCCAGGTCCAGTCGTTAGTTCACTCAACAAGTACAGCCATGGCAACCTTTTAGTAGCTGACATTTCTTGAATAATTATTAGGTATTGAGGATTATCAAACCATTAGAGGAAAATAAAACTTACAGGCTAAAATCAATAATCCGTGTTACAGTAACGCTACCGTTTAGGTAATGCGCTCAAGCTCAAACTTCAGACTTGGTGTTGTAGAAGTAGCGAACTGCGGTTCCTTGGGTTCTACGTCTGTCTTATTGAAATAAGTTCTGAGTTTGAAATGGTCACAATTATCTTCCCGGTTCTGAAAAACCTAAAAGGATAGAGATACGATCAATAAATTAATCTTGTCTCAAGTTAGTATTACTGCATCTGATCTGGAGAAAGCTTCTCGAGTATGGCCCATCGGTACCGTAGGACTCGAGGTGTGCGTCTAGCCTCCTTTTAAAGGTATCAGGGGATGGGGCCGTAACGACTGCTGAAGGGAGGGAATTCCATAGTTTACAGACCTTAACTGCAAATGAGTTAGCACGGATCTTTGTACGTGCCCTCTCATACTGTATTCTTAACGGGTGACCCCTCAAGTCGCTTTTCCGACTAAGGCTTAGCAGGGATCTGTTGGGATGGGGGGGATTGTGGACGATGTGGTACATCATGATCATATCCCTCTGATCCTCCGGTATTGTACTGGGTGCGGCTGAAGAGCAACCAAGTGGTCTGGGTAAGGTTTGTGCCGTAACCCAATCACTTTCTTTGTAGCTCTTCCCTGTACCCTCTCTAGAGTGATTATGTCCTTTTCGAAGTATGGGGACACCACAAGCGAACTTTTTCTAGATGAGGGCGAATATACAGAGCATACACTGTGGTGAAAAGGGAAGGAGTCAGACACCCTAAAGTTTGCGAGAGAAACCCCAGGATTCCATAGGCCCTATTGGCTGCAAGGCGACAGCGGACAGAGGCTCCTAGTGCGTCATTTGGTGTAACTCCCAGATCTTGTTCCATATTAGAGTGACAGATATTTATTTCACCTAGAGAGTAAGAACTGGGACTGCCTTTATGTTTGTCAACTATCATAATTCGACACTTCTTCGAGCTGAGAGGAAGCAGGTTTTCTGTGGTCCAATTAAGGATTTTCGTAAGGTCCTCCTGGAGGAGCGAAATATCCGTTGGTTCCTGTATTTCCCTCCAGATCTTTAGATCATCGGTATATAATAGCTAATGTGAATTAGGGCCCCCTGGTAGGTCATTGATAAAAGCAAGAAACAGTGGTGGGCCTAGTATAGGACCTTGAGGCACACCACTCAGCATCGGGAACCACTCAGATAGGGAGAAGCCGACTTTAACTGCACCCTGGTGTACAGATAATCTCTAAGCCACATTAATAATCTTCCGTGTACACCCATGAGATAGAGTTTCTTACATAGGATATCATGATTTACCCTGTCAAAGGCCTTAGAAAAGTCAAGTTAACCAATGCGTATAGGCTTTCTCTTCTCGGCGGAGAGTGTCCAGCTATTCCAAGCTGTCAGCAAGTTGGTTTTACATGACTTTCCTGGCAGAAAGTCACGCTGACAGTCGTTTAGGCTTGATTTCTGAAGTAAGTAATCACGAAGTGAGTCATTTATGACTCTCTCCATGACCTTCGCAACTGAAGAGATCAGGGAGACCGGTCTGTGGTTGGAGGCGAGTAGTTTATTTCCACCCGTCTAGATTGGGACGACAGCCACCCGTTTCCAATCAGAGGGTAACCCACCTTTCGGAAAGGAGCATTTGAAGAGGTTTGCTAGTGGAGCACACAGAACTTCAGCACACTCCTCGAGTGTTCTTGGATGAATACCATCGATTCCTGGAGACTTATTTGGGTTCAGGTTCTTTAATATTTCCATAATTCTAGAGGGTTCAAACTCTCTATGGTTAAGCCCCTCTGTAATACGGGTGTCCGACAGATGCGTGGTTTTGCTTCCCAAATGACAGTTGTTTTGGAACTCATGAGCTAGTAGGTTTGCAACTTCGGAGTTGGAATAGAGAACCTCTAAACTAGTGGGGTCCTGTAAACTAAGTGAACTGCAACTCTTCCGTTTCATCAACGAGTACAGTATCCCATGATTCCCCTCCAGGGTTCTACAAAGTTGTGTCCGGTGGTTTGTTCTGTCATTTCTGATCCTTACTGTACATTTGTTACGGATATCTTTGTAATTTAGCCAGTCAAAAGGGCTATTGGTGCACCTCCATAAATTCGAAGACGACCGTTTAAGTCGTATTAGTTTGCTCGTGCTTGACTTGAAGGTTTTCTTTTTCGAATTGTAGACTGGTTTGTTAGGGAAAGGAGTGGAACTGCTGGCATGGTCAATTAACTCCTTGCCGTTCGTTTGTTTGTCAGCTGCTATTATTGAGTACTGGGGGTTACTCGAAGGCGCATGGAGAAATAGAACTAGTAGGGACTGAGTGAAGAGGATTGAAAAGTACTCGTGGCAAATACTTGTTGCGAGCAATAATAGGAAGGGGCTTTGGATCTTATTGAAGATATTAAGGCTAGGCGATACAGCGATGGATGAGCGAGCCTTCGATTGCCACCACAGGGCGTTGATGGTAAGCCGTTTGAGTTCTTATTATCATGGAGCAGCCGTTTGAATGAGTTGAGCGACGCTGTTGTGGCCACTTCTTTCGGCATGGCGTTCCATACTGCACACACGTCGTGAGAAAAGGACTTAAATCTAGCTCATGTCTTTGCTGTTTAGTGTGACATGAGATTGGGTGCCTCAAAGGGCTATCAGTTTTGAGCCGATGGAGTTGGAGTGGTTAACGTGATGGATGATCTTGTAGGCTGTTTTCAGGTCTACTCTTTCCTTCAACAGTCTACGGAGAACAACTTGGGCTGTCTAAGGCGTTGCGCATGTAGATGTTACTTAGACGAGTTAATGGAAAGTAATTGTCTGACAGAAGCTGAAGAACAACTGAACTACGATGGATTATCTATAGGTAACAGTTCTTGCCAACCCTTGCAGTCTTTCCTCGGTCGCATTGCCTGGCCCCATACCGCTGAAGTCTTCCTTTCAAGTGCATGCAGTGGTTTGGAAAAAACCCTAAATTCAATGAATTGTCCCAGAATTCAGAGTCGGAAGGTATATTTCGATAAAACTAGCTGCAGTTGTTTGTGACATCCCTGCGCACTCCGATTTAATGCGGATTATAGGCCACAATATGACGACCGGTGGCAATAAATGTGCAGTTTTGGGCTGCGGTTTAAGTCGGAGGACGTCATACTCTTAAGGAGACTTCCGGCTTCGAAACTATTCATCTTTTCATGGTAGAGCTCAGGATGGCCACCACCGAGGACAGTGTTCTTTCGAGGACCTATCACTCGATATGAATATATGTTTACCGTTGGAGCTCATGCATCTTATCTACGCAGTTGTAAACAACTGATAACTGTATAGCGTGGTTAGGCTGTCAGGAGGAAAAGTAGGATGAGCAATTAGATACTGAGTGCGATTAGCGTTTGGCCACTGAGGTGCCAGTTACGCGCACCTGCGTACTTGGGATTGAAATGGTGAATGGACATTTTTACGACAATGAACACTTACTCTGGAGTGTGTACTTGGTGAATGCTCTTTTTTTATGAAACTGAACCATTTCGCACTTTCCTATTTGAATCTTGCATGCTTGGAATATGGTCGTCAATCCACTCTTTATATCAAACGACTCAACAGAATGAACAGTGGTATTCAGATCATAAGCTCTTTCGATAAAATATGAACCAACGGCACACCTCACTGGGAAAACCTGATGACGTAGCCACACTCCACGACTGCAAGAAAAAGTTGAGTATATCAAAACAACTATTCCTGATGCCCTTCTGGCAACGCCGTTATCAGTCAAGCGAAGACGGGACCGACTGTCGAGGTGGAGGAATTAGACTGCCGCACCAGAGGCGTTAGAGAGACTGCAGCGAGGACCTCATGGTTCCATTACCAACCGGCGACATATGTCTACTTATCGGCAGGTGTTCCCTGGTCAGCGGCGAATCATTTCGGATATCTGTGAGGGTAATCACTTGCAAGTGCTTTGACAACGGGGAACAGAATTGCAAGGTTTTTAATCCCTTAAGGCCTACCTTGTATAGCCGTCACTCTCGTGTCTCATCCTGAGAAACTCATGGGAAGTGTCGTTCATAGTTGCTCTTCGCCATGTTTCGCACACAGGTGAACAATTAATTGGTTGCCAACTTTGTTAATTGTACGGGGCACATAATAAAACAGTCGATCATCAGGGACTCCTTATAGTTTCCTCCGTATCGAAAATCAGGCAAATAATTGCGGTTCTGTACGCTTCCAACACTATATAGACCTTGTATTCCTCTGGCAGCGGTGGTGAACCTTACAAACTCTCTTCGACATATGGGTCATCGGAATATCTCGCATCTTTACCAAGGCCCCTCCAATACCGTTTTTGGCTCAATTCAAAATCGTGATTAATTCAATTCAAAAACGTGGGAACCATCTGTTGAGGAGAATCAGACAATGGTAAGCGATTTTGTGTCGCCGCGTACTGATATTCCCGCTGAAAAATGTTCGGAGTTAACGAGCGGATTGCTCGAGGGTGATCACACATTGGCAAGTTATGGAATAAACTCCCACATTTTATTCGCTCTTGCGTGTCTGCACTTCAGTTTCGACGCCTACTCAACGAATTCTTCCTTTTCACGGATATCCATAAATTTCTTGACATTCATATTATATCCACAAATACGAAGCATAATGGAGCAATCGGCACATAACAGTGGTCAAGCCATTGCGTCCGCTATGAATGTACTCAGATCTCGAAATGTAAGAATCGGTTTTATTAAAGCCCTGAAGTTCGTTTAATGCAGATGGCCTCACGATTGCATACAAGGGTATGAATACCGGCCCCTCTCCGTATAATGAACTTGAAGAATACTGTTTATCTCTGAAAACCATTACGGTACACCCCCCTCCCAAAAAAGACTTAATAACCCTAAAATAAATAAATAAGTGCTTTCTTCTCGTGTTAAAAAAAAGGATTTTAACATGAGAGAAGCCAGTTTACAGGCTTCATCACGTTGATACATCTCCCTATCCCATGTAGTTGACTTAACATAATACGTGAAAATGTACATCAAGTCCGAATAAATCAAAGAAGGATAGGGACCTTTCTCATCCCCAAATTTGATAGCGTAGTAATCTGTATTTCCATATCTGCTCGTGCTCCTCCTTTCTTTCCCTATTTGCAGAAACAGCTTCAACTCGGCATTTGATGTTCAAATTCAGTCTGAACGTGATTAATTTATGGGAA